GCTGGTTGCCTGTCTGATCCGTGTGAACTGCGAGTTGGTTTTGAATCTCTTATTAATTTGACTTTGATTTGATTTTTCTTTCCATAGTAATTAACTTTGCACTTATCGCTGCTTTTCATTGTTTTCCCTGCAGTTATCTTTCCGTGTGAGAGCGGTAGATGTAAGAAATACCAGGCAGGTTTCACCCTTGCTGTGCCTCCGCCAGCTTTCAGTAGGGTGGCTTTGGGGAGGCTCTCCTCTGGGAGCCAGAAACGCTGGATTCTTAGAAAAAGATGAGCATTAGCTGGAGATGGTGGGTTCTTGTTGCCCGATATGGGAGGACTGATTCTGCTAGTAGTGGCAGCATAACTGTGAATGTGGGTTTTGTGTGTGCCCCCCCTGCTCTTTCATTTCTTCTCCCTTGAGTCTTTTTCTACCTGGCCTATTCAGAGAGCAAATTCTTCAGATCAGGAATTGCTTCTTACTGTGATTTTTCCACCATACAGACCACAGTGGTGCCTTGGTCTTTGTGGTGTCCGTTAGATACTAACAGAAAACCATAAACAGCGTGGAGACTGCAAGCTAATCATGCTGTTTCTGTTGCATGTCATGTCATAAAGATGAATGTCAGACAAGGAGATAAATTTTGCTAACCTTCGCAGCCTGCGCCAGCTGCACTGTGCACTGGTTCCATGCGTCGTGCTTTTTGACTCCAGACTGAATCAAGTCCTGTAGTTTAGCTGCTGTGCTGCTTATGAGTCTGGAAAATTGAAAAAGCATATTGTATATGAATGTGGCAGCCCACATGCACTCATTTCGTACTCAGACTCGTGTGTGATCATATGGCAAAATGGCATTTTTGACATTTGAAGTTATCTACGCTCAGTATGAGCGAATTTAGATTATGCAAAATCTAACTACAAATTAGGAGAAGCACGCAGCCCACCCCGGTACTGAAGGACTTCTGCCTTCTCAGCTTCCAGGGTAGTTTACTAGGGGTCAGCTGAGTTTTCCTTTGGGGGAGTGGGTGTGTGTGTAAGAAGAGTGGGCAAAACAAAATAAAGCAGTGATAATATTGGACTGATGTTACATTATTTTCTACTTTTCTACACAGGGATCCTAATCCTGCTCCCATTGACACTGAAGCTTTTGGAAAAATGGCTCTGTTTTTATGCTGGTTTGAATGACAGCAGCGTTGTCTGTCTCTACCTGGTTTTCAGAGGTGATGCCTATATGGCCCCTAACCGTGCACACAATACTAATGCACACTCGTGATACCAGTTTTATGTGTTAAGCAGTCTAGCTGAAAGGCTGCAGACAGAATGAGAGGCTCTGTGTTTGCTGTGGTGTTAGCTGAAAACAAACATCAGTTTCACAGGTATGTGAAATTTTCACTTTCTGTATAGACTTGCACAGGGTCCAGTTGCCTAAAGGTTTTACTGGGTGGCAACTCAGTGGGATTTACTTAAATAGTGCCAACAGCTCACTGTAGAATTGACTTGTGGAATGTAGTTGTTAGGTAGCACGTGGCTTAAAAACTTCTGATGTTCTGAATGTGAAAGCTTCGTACTGAACATTTGGCGTGGCTGTTAATCCTGTGTGAGCCTTCCTTTTCTCTTTCAGGAGCAGATGGTGTCAATTCTTGTGTAACTTACGTTATTTTACCTCCCTTTAAAGCAAGGAAGAAGCTGAGCTCTTAACACATTTCTGATGTCAAAGAGAAACCCCATCTCCCATCCTCCATACTGACCTGACTGCCGTGTGTTGATAGGCCTCCGTGTAAATGTCTGGACTGAGAAAATCCAGCTTGGTCTTGGCTGGACAATTCCCGGGTTTCACTGCAGCCAGATAAGTGACAGATGGTGGAACGGGCTGGCCAGTGCTGGCTGCCATGAAGCACTTAATCAGGAACCTGGGAAGAGGGTGACAGGCAGAGCAGGGTATGGTTGTGATCCTCTCGCTGCAAACGGTCGTGCAAAAAGTAAAGTGGGCTCGGGTGAGGAGCAGCAAGGTGTGACCCATCCGTCAGGGGTCCAGAATGGACCTGAACAAGTAATGACCTTCTGTTCTGCATATTATTCCCAATAACCTGATCTATGATTGGTCTCAGGGGTAGCCTGTCTACTGCATGTAATGCTACAGCAGTCGATAGCGAGGAATTTTTAGTAAGAAACTTGCTGTGGCTATTAGCAGTGTCAGCAGCGTGGTGATTAGATACATTATCAACATTGCAGCCCAAGTCTTAAAGCTCTTGGGAGTCTTAATGGTGGTTTGGTCTTACGCTCTGTGATCCCCTACGCACAGTCACATTGTGTTATGTTAACAAACACAGGACCCTTTCTTGGAGCATGCCCCACTCCTGTATTTTTTTGGCACCTCTGCTATGACCTAGACTGACCAGGTCTGGAAGTAAAAGGTTACAGCATTTCTCGTCACCTTGCTGTTGATACTGCAAGAAGAGGCAGTCACGAGTGCAGAAGTGTCTGCACGCAAGCACAGAGCTACGTGGTGGCACCTCTGTCCCTGGGAAGTGTACTGGTTTTCTCCTTCTAGTGAAAACACACGTATTAGAAGTTCAAGCAGCTGTGGTTTCTTTCTCCTGTATTTCATCTACTCTGGATAATCACCAGTCTGCATGTTCCTGGAGCATGACTCATCCGCTTGCAATATCCAACAGCTTTGCCTACTCTGAATCAACCTCACTCCACCAATATCACGTTACATCGGTTGCTTAAAAAATAAACTGCAAAACTTGTATAGCAATGCTTTTGCTGCGCTGCTAGACAAAGAGGAAAATGAGGTTATGCAGAGCAGCACCTGCATGTGTCCCAAAACCAGAAACAGAAGAGATAATCCGATTCCCACACACCTCCATGCCTGTTAGAGAGAAGACTTGAATAGTTTATATCCTGAGCTGTATCTTTAGAAGGTGCTGTGAGAATGGAGTAGCTGGTTTTACTGGTTTTGGAGAAGAAATGTTAGAGGTTGAATAAATGAGGGGGCAGGCTTTTAAATGAACAGATTTGAATTGTTACCTGGCAGTTTGTAGCAGCAAAATGGTGTTTTCCCCTTCATAAATACAAGAGGCCAGCATTTTAGTGTACAAGGAAGGGAGTCCGCTCAGCAAGGAGTAACCGTGTCCCCCGCATGCCCGGAGGCAGATCTCCACTGCCGAGGTGCCGTACTGAGTAACCATGGCTTTAAAGCCCGAAGAAAATGCATGGAGCTGTTAAAAAAAAAAAAAAAAAAAAGCAGAGTGTTAATGATGAAAGTGTGCTAAAGCAATCCTCAGAATAAGTTTCCTTTTTTAATTTTGTGCAATTTCTGGACATGCAATCCCTGTCAGATCCTCCTTTGCGTGCTGGTGTAGCACCCAGCTCCCTGAGCCCAGCCTTTGGTGTCTGCCTGGGGTGCTGCATGCCCGTGGACTGGGCACGCTGTGGCCAGTTCATGTGTTTTGGGGTTTGTCTCAACCAGCAGTGGCTTTGTCCACCCTTGTTCAGAGTGTGCTTTCATTTCAGGCTTCTGGTTGCAAAATCTTGTGCTCTATCTAAAATTCACATTTGGTTTTGGCTCAGAAGGGAATATTTGCATGAGCATTTGTAAATGGAGTTGTGAAACACCGCTTTGCGCCACCAGCTACTTGGAACAAGGTTTTTATCAGACAGACATGATTTTCAAGGGTGGTAAAATGGATGCTGTTGCTGACTGGTTGTGGACCTGGGACAAGCCATTTGATCTCTTAGTGCTTCCTCTTTTTCCAGTTATGTAGTGGTGAGAGGAATGCTTGTCCAGTTTGCTAAAATACTTTGATATTCAGAGACGAGAAGGGCAGCCTAAGTGCGAGCCAGCTGTACGAGTGCATCCTGCTGCAGCTCACCTCTGGCAGCGTGTCGAAGTTCTTCCTCTGGATCTCTCTGTACCCGTTGTCAAATAGCTCCTGCAGGTAGTCGTTGATGAAATGAAAGGCATAGGCTGCTGCCAGCTGGGGCAGCAGTTTCTCTTGCTGAGTCTGGCAGTCAAGGATTTTTGCTTCTTGTTCCCTGTTGGAAGGCAGCTGATAAAGTAGG